TGTCTCGTTATATTATACAATTTGTTGTTGCCATTGTTGTTGGGTTTTAAAGGTAATACACATTTTTTGAAAAATTTGAAAATTGGGTGGATAGTGATTCTTTACAATTTTGATATATTTGGATTTCCCTGTGGATGTATTATAGGCACTAGAAGATTTAGCCCCTAAAACACTTCTGCTTTCGAGAAAAATTGGATATAATAATGTACTGGTGCTCCCGATAAATGTTGATGTATTTCAAATAGCGTCTACGGCCGTGCAAAGGTAGCTGCGACCATGAAAATCTCAGAATAATTTCCAAACGGGAATAGCTAATCGGTTAATTTTAGTCAAGAGACATTGTTTGATAGCTTAATCAATATCTTGATCTTGAGAGGGAGCTATACAACATAAAGAGTATATCATTTACAATTTCATAACTTTAGACTCGATTTCAACCGCAACAACGACCTGTGAATATTACAGGATCGCATATGCTTCCAATATCTTAATTTGAACCAAATTCATAACTTTTGAAATACCTTTGAGGCTTTCCAATCCGGCTAAAAAGATTATTTCCGCCTGGCTATACTGTTCCTTTTAGTACATCATAATCATGAATTATAACTAGATTGCACCGTTTGTTTTTCTCTGGCTCAAATATTGATTCAGTCATTTAAGTGTTTCATTTGTCATCAATATTGCTCCTCCAATGATTGCCACTGAGTTTCACAGCTTCCTTTCGTTGGTTGTGACCATTTTATCGATGGTATGGGCAATGATTTAGGTGTCGACCGTAAACAGGGTGCGAGTATTACTAAAGGATAACTGTGCAGTGCTAAACTATACATGTGTCTTCCTTCCTCTACGAGAGAGAGAGAGAGAGATAGAGAGAGAGAAAAAGAAAGAGAGAGAGAGAAAAAAAAGAGAGTGTGAGAGAGAGAGAGAGAGAGAAGGCGAGCATGAAACAATATAAATACAAAATAAACATTGTCGTATACGCCTGTATATAATAATGTAAAACAAATTTAATACAATTTGCTCTTTACATCACCTTGGCAAATATAGTTATAACTCGATTGATTCAATAATCTTCATCATTTTAACAAAATCCAGATAAGTCTCGATATGTATACGGATGGATCTGAAATAGGAATCATTCTCTTCTATTGTTTCCCACTGATTATGTAATTAGTTAATCCAAATCTATTCCATGTTACAGTTACATCTATATGTTCTCTGATAGTAGCTTGATTAGCTAAACTGTCGACTCTTTCGTTTCCCTGAAGTTTACAATGCAACAGTATCACCTCAGAATGTTTGTCTATACCAAAACCGCTTAATTGTGTCTATTGATCCGATATTTCTATAATTATACTAGATTTGTTTATGTTTCTGGTACAATTTGGTGCAAGCCCGCTGATTGGCTATTGACTCACTTGGGTCGTCATTGAGAACGTCCGTAGATTTGGCCAAAAACCGCTCTGGATATCAATACCTCAGCGGTATGGGTGCGCTTAATCGACACTTTTTCACCCTAGAATCACGATATTTACAGACATTGGGTGGTATTTTCATAAGTTAAGCCAGGACTAAGTCCAGACTTAACAAGAATTTTAGTTCACACTTCTATGGAATGCTAGGTTTCGTCTTCCTCCTTCAATATTCATGACAAAGATAATCTATCAAAGACATTGTTGAAATTCAGTTCATACTCATATTATCTTTTTCTTCCCATTTCATTGCAAAATTATTTTTTTTGACATTTTTCATTGAAGGATTAATATAATCTGTACAGGGTAAATGAGTTGGCAACTGGCACTCCATAAAAGTGTGGACTAACTTAGTACGCGCTACCGGAATACCACCCGTTTAGTTTAAAACACGTTCCGTTCAAGCGATTTTTTCGTCGGTCGTAAAAATAAACGTGTTTAAAAACACAAACATGAAACGCTGAAAAAGATGCGTTTTGTATCATGATTCTGCAGAATGACGGTCGCTAAAATTCGATTGAACGAACGGAGTTTTCAATTATGATTCCATGGCGTCATTTTCGTGGCCTGTCCCATTTTGGGCAAAAACCTCGCGCCTGCTTTTCATGCAATTTGCGTTCACTATACCATGCTCTTTATCGTGGCCTGTTCCGTTATGGTATTCCTTGTTTTCCTTCTATCATTTTCTCTTTCTGTCTTTCCTTATGTTATTCTTTGTTTCGTCCTTATATGTTATTCTTTGTTTTACCTTCTATCACCTTTTCTTATGTTATTATTTGTTTTTATAATTATATCACTTTCTCTTTTGTTATTCTTTGTTTCTTCCTTCTATTCTTTGTTTTTTCCTTCTATGTTATTCTTTGTTTTACCTTCTATCACCTTTTCTTATGTTATTATTTGTTTTTTATAATTCTATCACCTTTTCGTATGTAATTCTTTGTTTTAATCATTCTACCAGTTTCTCTTTCTGTCATTCCTTATGTTATTCATTGTTCCTTCCTTATATCACATTCACGTTCTCTTATGTTATTCTTTGTTTTAATCATTCTATCGACTTTCTCTTTCTGTCTTTCCTTATGTTCTTCCTTCTATCACCTTCTCATTCTTTGTTTTATTATTGCGATTTATGCTCAAAACAGCAGTCGACAGTCGGCCTTAAACATGGGTGTCGATCCCGGGGGGATGGGGGGGGGGGATATACCCCCCCCCCAATATTTCAGGTGGGGGGATGGCCTGTACAATCACCCCCCCCCCCCCCCAATAATTCACCATAAAAAAAAAAAAAAAATGAAGAGAAAAATTAAGGATGAGAGCCCGATGAGAGTAGTTAATGGTTATTACTCGCAAGATGACCATCAATATGCACATTTTGCTATCTCTTTTTATACGAAGTAAATAAGACAACCGTATATGAGACAAGAATAAATTGAATTCTCGCTCATAGTTATTACGGTTTCATCAGGAATTGATGAATTTTTTCAATTTGTTCAATCAACAGCATCATAGAATTGCAGTGCGCCAAATGCAAAGACGCAGCGTCAAAAAGCAACGAGCTAAATGTTAAGCGCGAAGCGCAAAAATAGCAATCTGCAATGCACATCAGACAATCCTGGACAGTGTAAACATAGATGAACTCTGTGACGATTTCGTGATGAGATCAGAGACAAGGAGAAAGATTTTCGGACATGAGTATGACTTATAAAATAGTTCTCTAGTTGTTATGTTGTTTCCGTTCACCTTTTTTAAAATTCACGTCATTGTATCTTTATTTTTTGTTTTTTTCGCTCATTTTATTTCCTGATATTTCCTAAAAGATTTTTCATTTTTGGAGAAATATTATTATGTCACAACTTATTTGTCACACAAATTATTTTCAGTGGGGAAACTGAATTCAGACGTGGATTAAGCGTAATAATCAAATGAAACGTCAAAGTACACGATACAACGAAGCGTCTTCTTTTACGAATAATTTAATGAAACGTGAAAGCTTCCGCGCTAAACGCGGAATGGGCGAAAATGAATACAGACAAGGATTAAGAGTAAGAATTTATTGAAACGTTAAAGCTTAGGTAGGGGGAAAACTGAGTTCATGAAGGACACGATACAACAAATCGTCTTCTTTCACTAATGTGAAAGCTTCCGCGCTTCGCGCAAGAATGGGCGAAAATGAATTCAGACACGGATTAAGAGTCGAGAATGGTACATAGGATCGTCTTCTTTCTTTAATCATCTAATGAAACATCAGAGCTTCCGCGCTACGCGCGGGGAAGGGGGGGGGGGAAATTTGATTCAAACATTAAGGATTAAGAGTCGAGAATGGTACATCGAATCGTCTTCTTTCTTTAATAATCTGATGAAACGTCAGAGCTTCCGCGCTACGTGCGGAGGAAGGGGAACTCGATTCAAACAAGGATTAAGAGTCGAGAACGGTCCAACGAATCGACTTCTTTCTCTTATAATTTAGTGAAACGTCAAAGCTTCCGCGCTTCGCGCGATAGGGGAGAAACTGAATTCATGAAGGACACGATACAACAAATCGTCTTCTTTCTCTAATGTGAAAACTTCCGCGCTTCGCGTAGGAATGGGCGAAAATGAATTCAGACAAAGATTAAGAAACGAGAATGGTACATAGGATCGTCTTCTTTCTTAAATAATCAATTGAAACGTCAGAAGGGGAAGGGGAACTTGATTCAAACATTAAGAATTAAGAGTCGAAAATGGTACATCGAATCGTCTTCTTTCTATAATAATCTGATGTAACGTCAGAGCTTTCGCGCTATGCGCGGAGGAAGGGGAACTTTGATTCAAGCAAGGATTAAGAGTTGAGAATGGTACATCGAATCGTCTTCTGTCTTTAATAATCTAATGAAACGTCAGAGCTTCCGCGCTACGCGCGGAGGAAGGGGAACTTGATTCAAACAAGGATTAAGAGTCGAGAATGGTGATCGTCTTCTTTCTTTAATCATCTAATGAAACATCAGAGCTTCCGCGCTTCGCGGGGGGGGGGGGGACTCCCCCTCCCTGCACGCAACCCCCTAGGGACCGCGGTTCGCGTGCTCACTACCGCCCCCTAGAATGAAATCCTGGCTACGCGCTTGGGGGGGGGGGGTGCAACTTGCCACACGCTTCTACCTCTTGATTGCTTTGATCCATTGCCGAAAGTATTTTGGCACCTATCATCCCCCCAACCACGGATACAAATCGACACCCTTGACCTTAAACAATTCCAGAAAGCGCGCGCCGAAGTTGACCTATACTTCCTGGGCCAAACTGCGCAGTGTGATGCGCAGTGGCTGGGCTCGAAATGAGCTAGAATCAGCGTTAATGGAAAATCGCTTGAACGCTTTCCGTAGTGACCTTGTTTTGTAACGGCGTTTTGATTTGTGATTCATGTTTGTGATTCTAGCTTCGAAAAATTGCTTGAACGCACCCATAGTAGCTTCTCGATTTTGCACATGAATCGCAGATTCTCCGTCCGCGTTGAGCTTGCGAAAACTCCTTATTATCATACAATCTTTGTCGTAACAGATATTCATGATCCAAACGATGGCGGGTACAATGGAGCTAACCCAAACCCAACTTTACCAGTTGGCAGAGAAGGTCAGTCCCAATGATTGGGTAACCCTTGGAGTCCGTCTGGGATTCCCGTATAACAAGATAGAGCAGTGGAAGGAAGAACATAAAGGGGTAAGCTTGAAATATGTTGAAACAAACATTAAAGGGCCACTCTAACCCAACTAACATAGCCATTTAAAACATGAATACACCTCTACTTATTAATATTCCAGCCTCTGATTCTTCTGAAAATCTCTGTATTGACCAAAAAATGATGATAACCATCCATTTGTCACAGTTCTCACGCTTGCTGGGCTATGCCCCTCGAAAATATATAATACGGTTACGTGGCCTTGATGACGCATTTGACGTCATTGCCGGCATGTCCGATTTGCCCTACAACTAAGGATCTTACAATCTCATTGTAATTCATAAATAAAACGTACTGGGATTATCAAGTGCATATTTTTTTCGGATAAATGTTTTTTTCTGCTTCCAATTAATATCATAAATTGCCTTTTTAAAGACATGTATGAATGCCTCCTTTTCTTCGGAGATGCTCCTACAGCGACGTCATAAACAGTTGCGCAATACAGCTCCGATACTGCGTGTTTTTTCTGAGCGTTCTGAGTCGTAATGTTTAAAGCTAGATTCCAGAATTATTGATGATTTCTTGGAAAAATCATTTCCATGTCCGGAATCTCCGTCAAAAATTATTCTCCATGTCTTCCCCCCCCCCCCCCATTTCTTAGCCCGTTTTGGTTAGAGTGGCTCATTTACGAGTTCATACAGAAATACCAGATTTTTAGGCAGGCGTGTACGATGCATTGCCAGGGCCTTGTAAACTCGCACAAGTGGTGAAGCAACTGTGTAGTGCCGTTTCACACCTATAATCTTGTTGTATAATATTGGACTAAGACAATAAATGGATTTGAACAAATTATTTATTGATAAAGATATAAAGATAGATCAATAAACAAATAAGCAGTAACACAATTAAATGTAATGCTTGCATCTCGCAACAACAGCCGTTTTCTGCAACCCCATCTACTTCAATTTCCAAACACTGACGCTTTTATTTCCTTACCCCTCTCTACGTCTCTAAAAAACTGGCGCTTCCGATTTCTTTGCCCCTCTCTTCGTCTCTCAAACACTGACGCTCCCGCTCTCTTTACCCCTCTCTACGTCTCTCAAACACTGACGCTTCCGCTCTCTTAACCACCTCTCTACGTCTCTCAAACACTGACGCTTCCGCGTTCTTTACCCCTCTCTACGTCTCTCAAACACTGACGCTTCCGCTCTCTTTACCCCTCTCTACGTCTCTCAAACACTAACGCTTCCACTCTCTTTACCCCTCTCTACGTCTCTCAAACACTGACGCTTTCGCTCTCTTTACCCCTCCCTACGTCTCTCAAACACTAACGCTTCCGCTCTCTTTACCTCTCTCTACGTCTCTCAAACACTGACGCTTTCACTCTCTTTACCCCTCTCTGCGTCTCTCAAACACTGACGCTTTCGCTTTCTTTACCCCTCTCTACGTCTCTCAAACCCTGACGATTCCGCTCCCTTTACTCCTCTCTACGTCTCTCAAAGACTGACGCTTTCGCTCTCTTTATCCCTCCCTACGTCTCTCAAACACTAACGCTTCCGCTCTCTTTACCGCTCTCTACGTCTCTCAAACATTGACGAGTCCGTTCTCTTGACCCATCTCTACGTCTCTCAAACACCATTGCTTCCGCTCTCTTTACCCCTCTCTACGTCTCTCAAACACTATCCCTTCCGCTCTCTTTACCCCTCCCTACGTCTCTCAAACACTAACGCTTTCGCTTTCTTTACCCCTCTCTACGTCTCTCAAACACTGAAGTTCCGCTCTCTTTACCCCCTCCCTACGTATCTCAAACACTAACGCTTCCGCTCTCTTTACCCCTCTCTACGTCTCTCAAACACTGACGCTTCCGCTCTCTTTAACCCTCCCTACGTCTATCAAACCCTGACGATTCCGCTCCCTTTACTCCTCTCTACGTCTCTCAAACACTGACGCTTCCGCTCCCCTTACCCCTCTCTACGTCTCTTAAACACTAACCTTCCACTCTCTTTACCCCTCCCTACGTCTATCAAACCCTGACGATTCCGCTCCCTTTACCCCTCTCTACGTCTCTCAAACACTGACACTTCCGCTCTCTTACCCCTCTCTACGTCTCTCAAACACTGACGCTTCCGCTCACTTTACCCCTCTCTACGTCTCTCAAACACTGGCCCTTCCGCTCTCTTTACCCCTCCCTACGTCTCACAAACACTAACGCTCCCATTTCCTCCCCGCTCTCTATTTTCCTTATCATACAAACGCTACAGAACATTCAGAATGGTATTTTTAATATGCTGGCCACTTGGCTTGGCATCCATCCTACCTTCACCAAACCAGACGCCAGGAAGTTTGTAGCCGATCAGTTCAAAGCAATAGACAAGATCGACCTGGCGTACTCCCTTATCAACACAGGTTAGCAAAACATATGCCTCTTTGAAAGTATCGTTCAGACATTAATGTTTATATTTTACGAATTGCAATAAAATTCGCCATGCGCATTTTTACTAAGTCCAAAGGTTGAATGGTATCGAATTCCACATGATAGCCCACTACTATATATGTGTCTTTAAACCTTATCTACAGTTTGATATATGATAAGGCAGTACACCTAGTTTGTTTCAGGGCTACACTTACAGGTTTCATTGTCGAGTGGTTTTAATACTTGACTCGACATTCGGGGGACGTGGATTCGATCCTCGCGGGAAGACACTGATTTCCCTGGACCGTGCTATGTTTGTACCGATATTAGATATACATGAACATGCATAATATGTATAATAACGGAATCAATTTGCCCGTTGCTCCACCAAGACATACGATGGTTAATATATTCGCATGTCGAGCAAGAACGAAACATTCTACAATCATTATATGGTCTAATCGATTTTTCTTTTGGAAGTTTCTATAAAGGATGTCTTTTGAATATTAATTTAAAGAGTAGTAAACAATGAGAAAGAGAAACGTCAAGAAGTATGAATCGAAGGAAAATGTACTATCCCTTTCAAATATTGACTTTCTACAAAGCACCGTTATTTTCAGTTCAGTATTTTTCACCGAATACTTGGGGTCAACAAATGTCTTCATACTTGACTTATTCTTATTTATGTACATTTTGGTTATCCATTGTTGAAAGTATTTTAAACTAGTTTTGGGACTGCCCGTTTACGTATCAATCTATCAACGACATCCATAGCTCTCTTCTCAACAATGATGTGAATTTGAATAACAATATTTTTTTTATTTGATTTCCCAGATGTAAAAAATGACGCTTTATTCTTTTAAATTGTATATGCAAAACATTAACTATTCTCGACTAAATGTAGTGGAGAATGATTATCCTTAACCCATAGCCTGCCATGAGGCTGCATGCACGCTACCTATTGAGTGCCATGTGCGTGCAAGGGCGCATTCATAGTAGCAGTTATTGTTCATGCTCATTGGGCTGTGCTGTGTGTTTTGCACTCGCCATTCTTAGAACCATCGCGTTAATCAGATCTCCAAAACAACCTGGCACAGTGGGGATTAGCCCTGTGGCACGATAAGAGTTAAAGTCCTTCAAGAATATGCTGAAACATTTAGTTTTGAAGTGAGACATTTTATTTGCGATTATGAGTTTTATCAGTAGATAATTTGTTAATTACTCCCCAAGGACAGTCACCCCCCCCCCTCCCCACCCGATGTCAATCACCTCCCGAGGTCAATAACTCCCGGAAAATTACTTGCTAGGACAATTACCACCCCCCCCCCCCCCCTCGAACACTTCTGCTTTTATTTTAAACCAATTGATTATCAGACTCGACTTCCCCTTTAACTAACGTGGGGTGATTTACGGGGGGGGGGGGGGTAATTGTCCTCGGGGTGGTTGTCCTTGGTTGTCCTGGGGGTCGGGTTTCTGATTGTCCTAGAGGAATTATTTTCAGGAGTGGTTAAATTGCCCTCGGGGTTAATTTTCCGGGGAATAGTTGTCACAATACGACTTTAGTTGATTAATTTGTAAAGATTTCTTTTCTTTTTTACGAAGCAGTCATTATTGTTATTGTATAGCCCCTTGTCATTATTATGAAATAGCCTAATTTAAAGAACTCCCATGTTTTCATCGTATCTCTTATATGTACTCAGAAGTCTGCTTTGTACCACCTGATCATATTAAAGTCAGTGACTCATCAAGACAATTCGAGTATGAGCTTCGAAGTTGTCAGAAAGAAAGAGGTAAGCTTTTTAAAATATTTTGTTAGAATCCATCATTATTTTCATTTCAAATCTTAAACACATTTATTCTATTAACATATCTTATATTCTCTTAACTACAGTGATATAATATCAGGTAAATTGAATACAAAAAAGGATAGGTGATTAAATTAGAAGAAATGTATACTTTTAATATTAAACATCACAGGAAATATTCTAAATTTGTAAATAATTTACAATTACATGTTAAATACTGATTCCGTAAAAAGGGCATCATTATTAATAAGCTCGCTCAGTCTAATGGGCCGTCCTGTCAAGTTAATGTTGATTTTCTTGTGCTCTATATATCCTTTATTATATCCTGCAAGGACCTGCATCAAAACTTATTGGATTTTGATTGGTTGAGAGCTCGTCACATGACCAGAAATTTTCAACTATGTTAAGGTTACTCTGAAAAAGTACTATTTGGGAGTTGACATTTTTGTATTTTTTTTATATTTTTTTAAAAATTCTCTTTTAATAAAAATTGTGATTTCTAAAATTTGAAATTTTCTAATTTTGTTGCAGGATATAAAAAAAATATACCATGCCTTCTTTTTGAGGTACTGGTTAAAACTATGGACCCCTCAGCAAAAAAATAATATTGGAGTCACTTCTTGCGCATATTTTTAACCAGAACCTCTCAAGACAGTGTATATTTTGTATATTGTCTTTAGTGCTATTCTATTGAGTTGTTATGTATATGCGAACTTCACAAATCAAATCAAATGGAAATATGCTTTAAAAGAAAAAAGATATGTCTAGTCCATGCCTATCTATATTTCGGTAATAATTATTTCCCTGTCTTACTCACTGGCATAATTTCTGTCCATTTCTTCTACAGAGCTATCATTCAATGTTTCAATGGAGTCGAGAGAGGGGCTGGTACATCCTTCACTCATACTGGCAAATCTTTCTATGCCCTGCGAATTCGCCGATAAGTTGTGTGCTTGTATACATGCTCTCGGGCTTCGGCTCATCCGGATGCAGCTTCAGAGTGGACCCGGAAGTAGTATTAAGGTCACCGTGGCTGCTATCGATGAAGATGGCGTCAAGGAACTACGAACGCGGCTGATGTCACAACAGATTCACTTCAGAGAAGACCTTAAGCGGATCATATGCAAATATGTTTCCTTTGATATCGAGGAGTCTGCAATTTATCTTCAAACTTCATTCTCTGAAGAAGAGTTTGGACGGGTCATCCAATTGTTTCGTGATGAAGGTTTGTACAATTTCCAATATAATGATAATAATAATGATAACAATAATGATAATGATGATAATAATAATTAGGTATATGAGGCGCGAAATCTCTTGAAATCGAAATTGTGCACACAAAAATGAAATCATGATCCTTTTTAATTTTCGGATGGATACGGTACCAGAATGTGGATCACATGGTTCGTGGTTCGAGTACCATCGCGACATTAATGTCCTTTGGCAAGACATTAAGTTTATTTGAAATCAAACCTCAACTTTTTGGTTGCAATAAATAAATACTAATCATACACCTTAATCTGCATTTGCCACGCTCGACCCAGGTGAGGTAAATGGGTACCTGGCATGAATTCCTTGAAATACCAGAGCGTCATAAATGGCAGCTATGCTAAAGCTGGGGTAATAATTGTGTAGCACCAGGGGAGAATGAAATCAGAGAGACATGAGCGCTATACAACACCAAGCTTTTAGTGTTATTACGATTTATATTATCTATTAAGAAATAAATGAGCAATTAATTAATGCTTGGGGTAATGTTTTCTTACAGCAAGCTCGGCATCTTCCAATGCGGCACCTTTACGAGTCAATAACCTTGAGATCGTCCGACTAGCCAAACAATTGGATGCTAAGATGCTTACTCTACTTGGCTTAAAACTTGGTAAGTTCAATTTACCCATGGTAATAGTATCAATAATCATACTCATATTCATAATGATAACAAGAATCATACCCATAGTGATAATGTTAATAACCATTAAGGAATTGAATGCTAGTATGCCCACTCTTAGACTACTAGGTTTCAAACTGGGTAAGTTTAATTTACCCATGAGGATAATAACTAGAATCATACTCATAATCGTAATGATAACTAGTAAAACAATGGATGCTAATATGCTCACTCTACTAGGTTTCAAACTGGGTAAGTTCAATTTACCCATGAGGATAATAACAAGAATCATACTCATAACCGTAATGATAACTAGTAAAACAATGGATGCTAAAATGCTCACTCTACTTGGTTTAAAACTTGGTGAGTTCGATTTACCCATGATGCAAATAATAACAAGAAGCAGACTCGAAGTGATAATTATAATAATCATTGAATAATTAGATGCTAGTATGCTCACTCTATAGTTGATTCAAAACTTGGTAAATTCGATTTACCCTCGATAATAAAAATAAAGAGATTGATACTCGTAATGATAAAGAAAATAATAATTGTTATGATAACAATAATTGAATAATAGTAATAGTAGTTATAATGATAATGGTAACGATAATGATAATAATAATAACATTGTAACATTAATGAACATAAATACACTATATGAACGTTAAAATTTACCCGATATTAGGTACAATTCTTTCCAAATAAGAGTGTTAAATTATGAAAGTGATAATAACTATACTTCAGCTACTACTATTACCATTATCTTCAATATTATTAGCATTAACGTTATTAATAATAATAATATAGTATTAATGACTGCTTTGAGAGAAATAGTTGTTTTTATACGCCCAAGGGAAGGTTAGAATTGTGCTATTACCCGAGGCGTGCCGAGGGGAATAGCCCAATTGTAACCTTCCCGAGAGCGTATAAAAACAACTATTTCTCGAATATTAAAGCAGTCATTAATACTTTTATATGCCGAAAAAAAAAGGAAAAAAAAGAAGAAAAAAAAAAAAAACTTTTGTCGGAGATGGGATTCGAACTCTTGCGTACCAAAGGTGATGATATTAGAGTCAGCGCCTCAAACCGTTCGGCCAGCGCGCTCTGTCATCATGGGTAGTAGTTTTTTTTTTTATATACATTAAAATGAATTGAAAACGGTTTCGCGTGGTGGAAGCTTCGCGGCTGCTCCATTAAAAGGGCCCTTCTTTTACTTTTGCAATGCATATTGGCACGAACTTAGATCAAGATCTATCTCGAATATTAAAGCAGTCATTAATACTTTTATATGCCGAAAAAAAAGAAAAAAAAAAGAAAGAAAAAAAAAACTTTTATCGAAGATGGGATTCAAACTCTTGCGTACCAAAGGTGATCAAACCGTTCGGCCAGCGCGCTCTGTCATCGTGGTTAGTAGTTTTCTTTAATATATACATTAAAATGAATTGAAAACGGCTTCGCGTGGTGGAAGCTTCGCGGCTGCTCCATTAAACGGGCCCTTCTTTTACTTTTGCAATGCATATTGGCACGAACTTAGATCAAGATCTATCGGCAGATGTTGTTTTTTGTTTTTGGAAGTTTATTTTCGTCTTCATGTCAACAATGCAAGATAAAATTGTCGGTAAGATCGATCGAGATTCAATTGTATTGAAATTACCGACCAATGCTTCGCACACGTACGGTATCCTCTATCGCTCAGACCATTTTTTAACATGTAAACCTATGGGGTAACCATGGAGACTGAACTATTTTCCCAATAACCATGGTTATTGGGATTTTGAACTGTTTTTTAACCATGGTTACCGGGAATTTTCGGGAACAGTTAAAGTTTATGAATGCAATTTCGACCAATCAGATTGCTGGATTACTTAAGTGAGGTATATAATAATTATTATTATTGTTATTATTAGGTGGTCTGTCGATGACAGATCACCTATTGATTTCGCTAGAATGTTCTTTCTTTATTCTTTCTTTATTTCTTTATTTTATTTCTTCCGTACACTTTTTTGTGCACACGTTTACTCGAAATCGACATGGTCAATTTCCTTTGAATTTCTGTCAGTCATCAAGCCCTATGATTTCAAGTCTAATTAACTTTTTCAAGTTCATGGGGTCATCGTGACGTCATCCAGGCGCCATTTTGTAAAAATCAGGTCATTATCATATCTCGATAACAAGTCATCAAAAATCAACCATATTTGGTATACATCAACTTTAGGTCGAAGGTCAACGAAAAATGTCAAAAAATTCCGCGCACGCACCTCGACGCACACGTACGCGCGCATTAAAATTTTAAAATGGTCAAATTCGTTCTAAATTAATTTTGCATACGTTTCAGGCCATTTTAAGCATTTTCAAAATTTGCGCGCGCGTAATTATGCGCGCGCGTCCTGGCATTTTGCAACATAGAATCGCCAAATTTTTTCTGTTATCATATTTATTACATTTTTCCAAGCATTTTGATACCTTGTTTACCTTTTTGCGACCAGTAATACTGCAATTAGCGGCTGTCAAAGTTGAACGCACGCGCCGACCTGCGCTATCTGTATCCACAATACATGGGCAAAAACATGCCTATACAAAATTCATTTTAACTCTTCAGAATTGATAGATAACCCACAATTTCTTTCATATTTCAATAGATTATGAGTTGGAGGTATGATTTCATGTCTCATTTGACCCTTTATTAACTAATGACGTCATCATAATGGCCTCCAAACTCAAAATTTCAATTTGCATATTATGACGTCAGCATATTTCTGGAAAATTGACTGTATCTCTGTAAACAATGATCAATTTTCTTCCAAATTTTGATATGATCTAGCTTAGACAATTCTCTACAAATGCAGTCGACACAATATTTCATTTTGACAAAGGTATCATGGCGTATTTTTGCGATTAAAGGTGGCATGTCAATTTTTCACATTTTGCGTGTATTCTCTATGTGACATGACTTTTTCTCAAAACTGGATTCTACATTCTCGTCTTTTGCGAGCAATATCTCCGTCGTTTTATCTTTATTTACGCTGAGCTTTGAGTATGTTGTAGCTGAGACAATAAGCTATCATAAGTGTGCCCTTTATTTTTCATTCAGATGCCGGGATCATGCTCATATTTCACTTCCAAAGTGGGATTTGAGAATTCCATTTCCCGTTTACGTGTAATCTCTATGGGAAATGTTTTGGTATATCCGTAACGCACTTGACTTCCGACCTCGAGGTCCCTGGTTCGAGTCCGGGCGTCTCCAACAATTTGTTTTCTTCACTTTTTTTTCTTTTTGACCTTTCACTGTACCATCTCCTTTCAATATTAAAACACGTACAATCGTAAATAATGTAATAAACAACCATATTTACTTTATTATTACCCTATTATCACTTGATCCATTACTTTTTGCGTGCAATCCTTATGGGAGATGACTTTTTCTCAAATCTGGATTCTACAAAATCTTGTCTTTTGCGAGCAATATCGCCGTTATTTCGGCTTGATTTTTGTTGATTTTTGAGTATGTTGTAGCTGTGACTATATACTATCTAAATGTTCTCTCATTTTTGTCAGTCTGATGTCATCATGGTCTGTTGATGATAATCATCAACATCATCATGATCATCATCATCATCATCGTCATCACCATTACTATCAAGATCATCATTATCATCATCATGATGATGATCATTGTTTACATGTCTATATAACTTCTCCCTTTCTCAATAAAGTAAATATTATAATCTATCATAAGACTTGAAGACAGACCACCTTAATCGTCCTCGTGACGATTTAAATTCTAGTTATTATTATTATTATTATTACTACTACTACTACTACTACAACAAATACTACTATTACTAACTTTACTAATCATAACCATCAAATTAATACAATAACATAGAATAATATAGAAGATAATGGTAGTAGTTGTATTAGTTCGAGTAGCACTAGTATTAGCAGCAGCAGTAGAAGTAGTGGTATAAGTAGTAGTAGTAGTAATAATAGTAGTGACAACGGTAATAGTAACATTACTAGTAGTAGCAGCAGCAGTGGTACATTATAGCTGTAGTTCTAGTTCTAGTTGTATTCGCAGTAGTAGTAGTAGTAGTAGTAGTAGTAGTAGTGGTGGTAGTAGTAGTAGTAGTAGTAGTAGTAGTAATAATAGTTAAAAGAACAGTAGCACAACAAATAGTATAAACGTCGCAGTAAAAGTAATTTACCAATATTTCAACCATCATTTTCCTAGGTGTAACAGAGCCTGAGATGAGTGATCTCCGAATCCAAGGCAAGAATAGCCGCTCGATATTCGAACATATGCTTTTTGTTTGGAAATCAAAGCACAGTCCCTGCATGGATGACCTTTCCGATTTGGCTGAGATTTTGGGGTCGGTGGGTGCCGCTTTATTAGCCCACCAACTCCGGCGAGGAGAGCTGAGAGAAACCGAAAGGGAAGGTTGGTTACATTTCCACCAATTTAGATGTATCCTAATTATAATTATTGATTAAATCTTAATGTGCTTTAATCTAAGGTTAATCCATTAGCAATAGAAGGTAATATAATCTTATTTATCAAGTTTGTATTGATCGATCCCTCCGAGTCACCAATTATTAATGAACAATTGTCATGATTCTCCGAATAAGTAAATTTAAGACTGATAAATGAACATAATAGGCCTACTGCACTCTATTCCTTCTGTAATTATTTTAGTTTTTCTATGCTATTTAGTGTGGTTCTGGAGTTTTCTTTCTCTGTTTTGTTTTTGTTTTTTAGACGTGGTTTTGTTAGTGTAATAATTCAGTATTATTTTGTATTTTAAATAATTGATAATAAATATTGTATGAATTAATTTTTTAATTTTTTTTTTAGACCTATGTTTAATTTGATATTTCACATGTATGTACAATTTGTAATTATTGCAGTATATACTTATGTTGTTATACTGTTATTGTATTATGCAGGGTTTTCTTGAAAAGCAGGTCCACTGGCTTCGAGTAGAACTGAATGAAACTACGCTGGTGAAAGAAATCATGAATAAATAAATGAATGCTACAACTGGTATCGTAATGGGTCTCCTTTTATTTTTCTCCTTCTTAATTATCTTCTTCTTCTTTATCTTCTTCATCTTCTTATTCTCCTTCTTCTTCTTCTTCTTTGTCTTCTTCTGCTGCTTTTTCTTCTTCCACTTCTTTTTCGTTAACTGCTTAATATTATTCTTCTCTTCCTTCTTCCTCTTCTTCTCCTATCGATCTATATATCTATATATCTGTCTTGCTTTCTTTGTTTGTTTTCTGTTTTGCCGTTCTTCCTTGCTTAACTCAGAACAAAGAAGGACTTACCTGCAGCGGGCATCAGCTCCTTGTGATTTAAAGGCACTCATGAAGAACCATCCATTCTCGAGAGCCAAACTCCCAGGACCAGCCGATGCTACAGCTACCCAAGCCTCCCCATCGCCACGATACGTGAATTACCCTCAACCGGCACCCTCTGAGGACAGCCAAGAGTCCAAGTTTGGACAACGTACGCACGCACGCACCGTTGGTTTGCAGGATAAAGCGCGCCCTCTCCCAGAACAGGATGCTGGCGACCCTGACTACGCAAGAGTCATACATCGGACTGGACAGGCGAACCCCCTGGGATGTAAACAAGAAGATGTACCAGCTATAGAGGAACCACTCTGTAAGTGTGACCCATGTGTTGAGCAGCAATCACCACTCCTGGGGAGTGTTTCACAAAGACTAAGATCGACTTTTAAGTTGGACTTAACTATGACAGGCCGTTCATGCCGCTAGTTGCTATCACCATTGGTCCTTCAAGAGACGTCACAAATGTACATAACTTGTTGTTGTTGATAGTTTATTATTGAAGAAATAAGTTACTTAAATTGTAAACTGGAGTTATATCTAAGACGTTTTTTTCTTCAAAAATGTTGAGAGCAAACAGTGACATGAACAGACTGCCATAGTTAAGTCCAACTTAAAGTCGATCCTAGTCTTTGTGAAACACTCCCATGGACCATTTAGAATACCAGCGCATTCGAAGGCGAGACTTGGGGACTAATTTGCCTTCTCTTACATATCCCATTTTAAAAATGGTTACGCAGACATTTTCTAAAGATATACAAATTCTGCCGATAGTAGAACAGTGACATTCAGCATTTATTTTGGATGGACCCTCGTTCTGGAGACATTAGGGACTTTTAGATTTGCATGTCAACATAGTGGACTGCTACATGTGTCGTCATTATGAGGCACTGGCAGTGCCTGAAAAGGACATAATAGTGCCTTATATGGACGTCACACGTAGCAGTTCACTTTATCGTCGTGCAAATCTAAAAGTCCCTATCAGCGTAACCTCATATGCATTGTCCCTCCCGGTGCAAAGGTCTGGATACGTAACTGATTTAGTCCAAAGTACCTTTCGTTACCGACCAGACAGAGATTTCACTATATCTGATAAATCAGGCAAAACATCAAACAACGATATGTTTGTGCCAATATTGTTGGTTATTCTATAATAAAGTCCAAATATGATAAAGTAAAGTACAGCTGCTACTTGCAACCTGACCTTGTATACACATATCTCGTATTATTTATTTCACAGGAGAATTACCTGATTACGTCCGCATGATGTAAAGTTCGAAATAAATTTCGGACTTTCTTGCGAATAGCGTTTATTACCAGAATGTATTACCTGTATGAATCATGAAATACAGTTCTCTTTTCCTGTAGATGAAAGGATTCCGAGCGATCTTGAAGCTTCCCCGCCTCCAGTGGATTTAGAAGGGGATCACACATACGTCAATGATGATGTACATCTTAGACCACGTGAGTGTTTCTATCAAACGGAGTTCAAAATCCGATAAGGAAAACATTAAATCTGTCATTTTATGTTTCTTTCTTAAAGGGATAGGGTAACTTTGTCTCAGATTCTGTAACATAATCCTGGATTAAGCTCATGCTGCAATGATAATTATAAACCGCTAGGTAAGTCGGGAACCACCCCATGACTTTTACAGGCAGATCGCCTGTCTGATTATCAAGATATTTATGATTGGAAATCGAAACCAAATATTGCGTTTGCCAAACGGTTTTCATAACACTACAGTCTAATGGGGAAAATGAGTATGGTAAAACCGGTCACTCAAAGATCTTTTTTATTTTTTGAGGCACTTAATAATTATTTTGAAGCGCAATCTTGTTAAGGCTTCAATATCATATCACAGACAATAGTAACACGTAGGGCCATGCATCTCAGATTTAACATTGTTAAACGATGCCTTTAACAGAACAAATATCATTACCATCTAAAACCCTCTTTAGAAACTTGATTATGTCTTGTAATGGCATAATCATCACTATGTTCAGTATCTCTAAAATGTGTGTTTAATGGCCTTTGAAGTGATACCCCATTTGTCATGATTATTTAGCCATGGAATGTAGTATTGTCATGCACTGCACTACACAGCAGCTCTACACTCTTCAAAGAAAGAAGAATGCACAGTCGAACAATAAAGGGATGGTTGATATTTGAGGAAATGCGTATTTTGGTGAGGGATTGTTCCTCAGCGCCCCTTTACCCCTCCCCCACCCCCGTCCTTGGGTGGCTATTAAGCATCAGCAGTTACGAGAACTACAGGGGAAGAATGTATAATGTCAATAAGCTCCAATCTACTTCCTTGGGCACCACCATAAGTGATCTAAACTAGAAGTAGGATAGGAACAAAGAGGGGGTGGGGGGGGGGGCAAGGTTGGTTCCGGACGCCAAGCGTCAACCACACTGTCACCTAAGCCTTTGCATTTAAGGAACAAATATATCATAAAGCACTAACATTCGTAAATATTTGCCCTATATAATGTTGTCCAACATAGTCGTGAAACTTTATTTCTTTTAATATTTCATGAAAATTTCTTCAAACTCCTGTCTAAAACCAGCTGTCCTGATAATCGACGAGTTCAGTCGCACAACTGTTGGTGTACAGCACTCATTCCAAACTATTTTGTATGTGTACTGCATTATGAATGAAACTTTTATTGATCGATGAAAGCAATATTAAAGATTATCTGAATTAGTATTCCAACCACAGTTGTATCCTATTTGTTCATACATCTATGTAGATCCCATTAAAAAAGATCCCGTCAAGCGTGCACCTCACAAGCGACAGGGAACTTCTACAATACCAGGTGAAATAAGAAATTACTCTTTTCTATTCCTTGTTCTCCTCTTCTTTTTGATCTTCTTGTTCTTCTTCGTTATTATCTTCTTCACTTTCTTATTTGTGTTTTTCTTCTCCTTTCTTCTTCTTCTCCTTCCTTTTCTTCTCATTCACATGTCTTCTTCCTCTTCTTAGTTTTTTCTTTTTTTCTTCTTAATCTTTACCTTCTCCTTTTCTACTTCTTTTTTCTTCTTCTGCCCCTTCTTCTTCCCCTTCACCACTATATCCACACTTTCCTTCTTCTCTTCTTCTTTTCCTTACGTTCTTCTTTTCCTTCTTTTTTCATCTTCTCCCCCTTTTTCTTCTACTTCTTTTTCTGCTTCTCCATTTTCTCCTCTTTCTTCTTCTTCTTCATCTTCTTCTCCACCATCTTCTCCTGTTTTTCTCTTTCTCTTATTTCTTTCACTTTATTCTTTTCTTTCGCTTTTCTTCCTCTCGATTACTTTCTTCTCTTTTCTTCTTCTTCTTCATCTTCTTCATGTTCTTCTTCGTGTTCTTCGTCTTCTTCTTTATCTAATTTTTCATCTTTTTCTGCATCTTGTTCCCCTTCTGCTTCTTTTTACACATTTTCTTTTCTTCTTCCTCTTATTATCTTTCTCTGTCTTGAGATCGACTGTCCAGCGACGTATCCACTCGACTACAGCACGTCTACAGTTGATTGAAATGTTTTTTCGTTATTTTATTTATCCTTTCTAGTACTTCACAGCCTAGACTTCTCTGTCCTTGAAGGTACGTGGGACAGCTTAGCCCATTATGGTGTGACGGATCGTGACACGGGCCATGCGGCTGGACTGATAAAACTAGCACAGGCTCTTAATGAAATAGGCCAAACTGACATCGCAGATACCATATGGATAGGTAGGTTTATAATGACGGTTGAGCATGTTGTTGACGCAGGACAAGGTCAGCGATAGCGTTGCCTTTGACGTAACATATGTGAGAGGGACATCGTTTCATGATATTTAGCATAATGGATGTGTCATTTTGTTTCCATATCACTCAATGGAAAGACACATGTCTAACACATGATTTAAGTCATCCATTGTCTCTTTGATGAATTGTTAATGTTTTCCCTTACGTACCTGCATAGATTCCTGGAAACAATACTTTGTTGATCTTTAAGAGCCCACAATAAAAATGTATCGTTTGAAGGTAAAAAATCGTCCTGAAAGTATACTTTAAGGTTTAGAGATATACTGTTATGTTGACATTTATAATTTGTGTAGATAATGTTACATTTATTTCCTATCTTTCATATGTCTTCTTTGCGATTTAGCACTCATAAAAGACCACTTGAAAAACGAATACCTACACCGGTTTGTCACCGGAAACATGACCGTCATTCCGCGGGTCATCACTAACCGACAAAACATTGACATTGGCCAAGGAACAACGCTAGATGAAGTTGTCAATCGCACGAAGGACAAGGAGTTTCCGAGCCGTATTTTCATCGAGGCTGGCTTACACGAGGACCGGCAAATGATAGCAGAGAAACTCGGCTACGATTGGGCCATGCAAAAGGATCCGGAGAGTCCACTGGGGAACGTGGATGTTCTCTACGTCCTCAAAGTTGCGGATATAGATCCTGGGACAACCGTAGGTGGCGCTTTAGTATCTCGACGTGTATGCCGCGATTTCAAGCTGAATCCAAGCCGCATTGAAGACTACTTCAAGAACACCATGACCGAGTATGTCATAGTCTTGAATGGGGATGATGATGACTTTCAGAGACTTCTATCAGTTTCTTCATCTGATGATCGTAAACCGGGTTTCAGAGAACTTGTTATGGGCAGATACTTGAGCGATTGCATTGTCATCATGACGGTAGGTCCGCAAGCTCTTGACGGCACACCTACAAGCTTTGCTCACTACAAGCTCCAATCAGCAACTTCCGATTGATAGACAAAAAAAATCGGCATTGGTTTATAAACACCAGGTCCTTGTCTAATAAAAAGTTATGATTGTCCCAAAGCAATAACAAGTCCTTCAATTAATTGCAAGTTTGCAGGCTCCTATTTCATATGTACATAAGACCCAGTAGTGGAAGTAGACCATGATAACGAACTATGCCATACTCTTGGTAAAAGTGCTGTACTCGACCAATTGTCATTTCATCATATTTTAGGCATATTATGCAGTCCTAACAGCTTTGTTCATTGCAGACTCAAATCAGGTTTTTATATTTGCTACCAAACGTGTTCGGCCTGTTTGAAAAACGCCAGTAGTTGAAGATGGCTCCTTTGAGATGCATGTATTTTTGATTTGTAACATATGTATGTTTGGTCATCTTTTCCCAACACAATCAATTCAAACAGCTGAGAGAGTGTCGTCAGATAAGCTTAGCTTTAAAGTATCACACGTTTGATTTTTGTTTGTTCATTAAAAAGAAAATGACAATTGAATGATGATGCCATGATATATTCTCACCAATAGGCCTAGTATATCTCTAGGAACTTCTCGCCATCCAACTTTACATGCTTTTGGGAATTCAAAATCATAATCATAGCCCCTTCCGCCGTGGGATATTTAATTGTGACGTAAGTTCAATATGGCTATATAACGATTTCTTATCCCACCAAAAGATAAGAGTGTAATCATAATAATTCCATTTAAGAATGCTGCCTGGTTGTCTCTCAAAAGAATATCACTTTTTTTCGTAATTGTAAGTGGTACCAATATGAATGCGATTGTGAATGGGGTTGGTTATTAAACAAGAACAAGCATTAGAGATGTATATTCCGGTAAAATAGATGCAAACTCTGCTGCATTCATGTTGAGGTTTTACCTAAATTTATATGGAGACATAAAGAGAGAGAGAGAGAAAGAGAAAGAGAAGGAGAGCTTTAAAATATGTTGGGGATGAATTGTACAAGGACCGATTGGTTTGGGTTATAGTACTGTACTGATCACGCTGATAACATTGTTTTATATATGATATTTTACACGTGATTTTAAACCGTGTAATGTGTATTCGGAAGAGTTTATTCTAGCCTTAACTTGTAAACGAAATCTATAAAGTTAATAACGGATGTGGCTGCTTTATTTTCACCCCGATACATCATTGGTAAATGGAAAACTATTAACAGGATAAGTGAAATGTAATACCATGTCATTAATGGTATCTACAGGCAGGACTTTTATTTGTTATACGTATTATGATTTGTGTACATGCCACTAAGATAATAATAATCTGGATTTATATAGTGCTTAAAATGAAATTCCGTCTCCACGCACTTTTCAGATATACTAGCCCGGTCGTAGGATTCATTCACGCACAGTTTGCACCATCTCCACTCCATGGGGAGTATTCCTACTTTAAGGTCACCGTGCGGGCATATAGCAATAACTATTTAGCACAAAGGCTTTCGACATCCTACCAGGTCTTCTTTTCTCTCATGGTATGTAGTGTCAAATGTAGATTAATGCCTTGCCAAAGCACATTAGTGCCACATAGGGGATCGAATCCATGACCTTTGCATTTCAAGTCAAGTGCTTGAACCACTCAACTACGATACCTCTAAGAAATGTATTTGAAAAGTCTTTCATGTAAAATTTCTGTAATTGATTCATATATGCACACGTTTCGTCATGTCGGCATCCACAGTTGTCCCGAAGCTCTTGAAATAGTATTTTTGTACAATCATTTCCGTTGTAGTACAAATGTTTTTTGATAAGTGTTTGTTTTTAATTTTATTTGTCTGTGTGTACGCAAGAAGCGTTTAACCATATTTTTTTTAAGGCAGTGCCTCATTGTAAATACTTGGTATCAATAACAATTTTATACATTTTATATCGTTTCTTGCCTGTACATGACTATATTTCATAATGGTTATATTCCTAAATGAACAGGTACTAGCACATTGTTTTTCTATTGCTTTGTTATGCTACGCAAAGAATGTGTATTGCAACCCTTACCTAAGGTTTTTATAAAGAAGCTCTCCGTTTTCGCGAAGACTTGGTACGATATACACAGTAAAAACGCTGCTTAAAAAAGTGATGTTCACTTACAGTTGTACACTATCTTAAACAACAGTTGAACAAATTGTAAACAATGTTGCTCGAAACGAAAGTAATTTTGTTAAACATTCGCTGTTTAAAATTTAATGACTGCTTTATTTACTATACGAGAGCTTTTAGACAGTGTTGTTTACATATGACGTCATGTGGCACGTGCCAGTAAAGTGCGCGTTGGCTAAAAGATTTGTTTCAAATCATGGCCAACCAAGCTGTAGACGTGTCGTGGATGAGTGGAAACGTCGCCGGACTGTCGATCACAAGGTCCACGGTTCGAGTCCCGCCGCGGAACTAATGTCCTATGGCAGCCTAGCATAGCCGGGTAATGTTGGAGCGCCTTGAGGACCTTGCAAGGTCGATACGTGCGCTATATAAGAATCCAATATTATTATTATTATTTAACAACAGCTCCTTTTTAAACAACTTTCTTTAAACAACCCAGTTGGTGTAAACAACCCCCACTGAACAACAGCTCCTTTTTAAACAACTTTCTTTAAACAACCCAGTTGGTGTAAACAACCCCCACTGAACAACAGCTCCGTTTTAAACAACCGTCTTTAAACAACACCAGTTGTTTAAATTGTGATTTTAAACAAGTTGTTCAAAATGTTGATCAACTAAGTGTTTAAACTTTAAACAACTCGAGTTGCTTAACATTTTAAACAACTCTTAGATCAGGTCACCCGTTAATCAACAGTTGTTTAAACTTTTAAACAACATGTTCACTAAATTTTTAACTGTGTAGAGGGTTAGAATAGGGCATTCTTATTATCTCTCGATATTTCTCATATATATTTCATTTAATGTCCGATATTAAAGATAAAGTTGAGTTCTGGTCATGCGATTGCATTGTTAAAGTAACGTTGTTGAATCGATCAGGAAAGGTTGATCATCTAGCATATAAGTATTGGTGTGTACTGCAAGGTTCTGGAATCATCAAAGTGATAAGAAATTAGGCCGAGTCTTGGTGAAGTAACAAGCACTGTACAAAGAAAGATGTATATGGGACTACCAGAACATTTGTCATAAAAAGCCGTCCCGATTTTTATGATGTTACATGCCATATATTTAGAATATTAAGGCATTTGAAGAGCCCTGCTTTTTAGGGAACATTTTGTTAGCTGATGTTCTTCCACACTTGCATAATACAATAACGCTCACAAATTATTTTCACCGCTTCCCAGAACTCAACCTTCTCATTAAATCAACTTGTTGGCATAAAATGACGCAACAGAAAGACGAAGAATATTAAGACTAATACTTTAAATCTAACAATTTTTCTTAGTTCACGGTTATACCTAATACAAACTGTTGGATTTAAACCATATATCTTATCTCTTCGTATTTTGTAGTGTGATAGACTTCATCACTTTATGCATTCGAATCAGTTAAAATGTCCGCAGTTTCCTAAACTATTTTGGTTTGTAGGCGTAATGTGATTGGACATAACCTCCTGTAATATTGTCAGAAGAAGTGACTAAACCTTTAGGGAATTTAATCACCTAAATAAAAGAAATAGAAATAGATTTCTTTCCTACCTTGTCTCGTAGAAACACCTGTTGAGTACAGCAGTGGCGTACCTGGGGTACTCCGTCAGGGGGGGGGGGGGGGGGGGGGCAAGCGACCGAAACAAACAAAAAAAGGCGATGCTAATTTTCACTTCTGGCGAGCAAGCGAGCAAAAAAAAATCTTTAACTAGCGTTTGGTATATAAACTGGTATTGTTGCAAGTTGGGGGTGGGAACATTTACTTGTTAGCGACGTTAATTTCATTTTTTTGCAAACGAGTGTAGCGAGCAAGAAAAAAAAATCACTTCTTTTTTAATAATTGCCACTTAAACTTGGTTAAATTGTCCCATGCAGGGCGCGGGAACAATATTGTGTTTAGGGTGATTTTATACCCATTTTAGCTAGCGAGCGAAAATACATCTTTCTCTCAATGAATTGCTATATAAAATTTGTTTCATTGTTGCAGGTAGGGGCGGCACAATCGTGTTAAGGCAATGTCAATCCCATTTTGGCGGGCAGGCAACCCCCTACATTTCTCTTTTTAATGATATTGTAGCAGGTTAGTGGTGGGCACATAATTCCACGAGCTAGCGAGCGTAGCGAGCGAAAAAAAAAATCACTTCTCTTTTAAAGGGAAAATATGGTACATAAAACTTGGGTTCATTGTCCCATGTCAGGGACGTGATTATCAAAAGCGGTGTTATTTCTATTTTGGCGAGCAAGCGTAGCGAGCGAGCAAAAAAAAATCACTTCTCTTTTATAGGGAAAATATGGTTTATAAACTTGGGTTCATTGTTCCATGTCAGGGACGTGATTATTAAAAGCGGTGTTATTTCTATTTTGGCGAGCGAGCGTAGCGAGCGAGCAAAATTTTTGTAATGATTATTGGTTCATAAATTTCAGATTTTTTTGTTGCAGGGCAGGGCTTACACAATCATGTCTAAGGTGATGTTCATTCCGTTTTGGCGAGCACGAGCACACCAAAACTTCTTTGAATAACGTTTGGTACATAATTATTAACTGGTTGTTGCAGGTTGGGGCGGGCACGTTAGCGGTGTCAATTCCATTTTGGCGAGCGAGCATAGCGAGCAAGCAAAACAAATAAATTCTCTTTTAATAGAAATTAATAAATAAACTTGTTTTTATTGGTGCAGGTCAGGATGGACGCAATCGCGTTTAACGCGATTCAATTCCTTTTTGGCGAGAGGGCGAAAAAACTCTTCCATTTTTAATGATATTGTTGCAGGTCAAGGGTGGGCACAATTGTTTCCAAAGCAATGTCTATTCATTTTATTCGCGAGCGAGTGTAGCGAGCGAGAAAAATGAATTAGTCTCTTTTAGTAATATTTGGTACATACATTGTGTGTTATTGTTGCCATGGTTGCAGGTCGGGGCCCGTCGGGGCAGGCACAATTGTTTCCTAGGCAATACTAATCCTTTTCTTTTTTCAGGGGGACGAGCAAGTGAAAACATTTAATACAAAATAGGCTAGCAAGCAGTTCGCGCCAGCGAAGAGTTTCGAATTTGTTGTATCACTTATATTTTCCTATTTTCATTTGTTTTAATTTTTCAGGGCCGTATGCGGAATATTTTTCTGGTGGGGGAGGGGGAAAGTTGCGTTAAAAGTTTTCGAAGAATCTCAAAGGCAAAAGGAGTGAAGGGAGTTCGAGCGACCGAACTGGTCATGAGGGTACTTTTGCATTTTCAAAAGTAGAATTGAAGGATTTGGTATAGGCCTACTCTACATTTTCAGGAAAAAAACTGTACGTTTTCAAAATATCTGGGGTCAACTGCCCCCCCCCCCCTGGTGCGTACGGCCATGGTCTTTTTTTTTTCCCCCATTTTTATTCCTTTCCTTTTCTTTTCCCTTTTTCTTCCTTTTCTCTTCTTCTTCCTTTTTTCTTTTTCTTTCCTTTCCTTTCTTTTCTTTTCTTTCCCCTTTTTCGTTTTTTCCCTGGAGCCGTCGGGGTACGCCAGTGGAGTACAGATACTTAGAACATATATTATATCACAAGTAGTAGTTCAAATATTGCACAGCACCCGTAGAAAGAATAAGGTAAGAGGTAAGAGGGGTAAGAGGTCACTTTTTTTTTTTTTGGTTCCAAAAAAATCGCAACGACTCAGCCGACCGCTGAATAAGCGGGGGGGTAAGAGGTCACTTTTTTTTTTGTCTCGAAATTTGGAAATTTGACATTTTGCTTAGTTGGGGGGGGGGTAAGGTCACTTTTTTAGGTCGGTCGTGGGAATATTTTTTTTTTTTTTTTTTTTTTTATAAAAAAAAAAAAAAAAAAAATCTAAAGGGGGGGGGGGGGGTTTTTTAGGCTTTTTTTTGGGGTTTTTTACATACATAAAGTTACTTAACCCCCCAACCCTCCCCCTACGTACGCGCCTTGGTGGTTGCACATCCCAACCCATAGGGTGTGGAATGTGCTTGCCAGAATAAGTATGTGTGGCACTCTAGTAATGCAACAGGTGTCACTAAAGAAATGAGTGACAATGGAATAAAAGGCTAGACTTCAAGCAACACAATAAAGACAAGACCATAATATATACAAATGCAAAGTTCTCCTGAGTTCAAGTCACGACAAAACGAAAATGTTTCTGTGGTGAACTATTTCGTACACAGTATTACAATGTTACAAGCAGTGCAATTGTTTATCTGATGTTCTTCCACACTTCATCCCCCCCCCCCCCCCATGACAAAACAGCTTAACAGCATAACAGACATTTTGAAGTTTATAAGATATAAGGCAAAACGTGTTCTTTTAAAAGCCTTTAGAGACTTTGTGATTGCATAAATTATGGTTCAACTTGTCTGAATAGAAATTTGGCATGTCTTACAAGATTCAATTTTTTTTTTAAAGTCTCGCATTTTATGCCCAAAATGTCTGTTATGCTATTTTGCACGGTGGTGAGACTGCTTTAACAATGAATGGACAAACTTTGACAGAAAGGAATTAATGCAAGACACTGGTAATTTAATGAGTTTTGATATTTAACATTTTGTACATGTTGAATTCAAGTCTTCAAATAACATGGAAGTAGGTGTTTTGCCTAAAACGATGTCAATTTTGAACGATTTTTAAACAAATTTGACGATTTTATATGAAATTGACAAAATCAATCAAAACCCGTATTATTCATTTATATTCATTAAGTGTTGTCAATTTCAACAATAGTCGATCATATACTTGGAATATTTTTTTCACCGCAATTCATGGAATTATTTTGACAATGTTTTATTCCTAATTGATCTAGATAATAGTAT